TCTCCGGTCAGTCTCAAATGACCAATATCCTGAACCTCCTGCATGCAGGGTTGGGTCTGCGGCTCCCAGTGCACCTCTCACCTGCCGTTTCGACCTCGCCCGTCGCTACAGGGCTTTTTGCATGTGGGTAAAGCCTTCAAGCCTGCGCAATGGACTTTTAGGTGAGACACAGTCTGCGTGGAACTGAACCCACCCTTTAATCCTGAGGTTCATCTGCCAGGGCCTAGCAAGCTTGGATGGTGGCAGTGAGGTCCTCAGGATGTAGGTTTAATTAGAGTGACCTTCTCTTAGATTGATGGTCTTACAGGGCTAAGCGAGCTCAATCTGCCTGGGTTTGGGATCAGAGTTGTCCTTCTCCTAGGATGACTGCCAGAAGGCTAACGAGCTCATCCTGCCCACGGATGTATTGTATCTGGCCCTATGGTTTTGACCTGTCTGGCATGGGCGACCCTACTGAAGGTGTGTACCATTGCCAGCGTAGCTTGCAACCACATAGGGGTACACAGGCTTCATTCCCATTAAAACGATTAGGGCGAGTCTTTCACTTCCTACTTTATTGCCACCTATCTATATTCAATCCCAAGGAAATACCCTGGGACAACCCTATGTCCTGACCACCCTTACAGGATGTAACAAATATATCCAGAAAATACCAAGCCTGGGCAGTAGCTGCAGGTGAGCGAAAACCAACCAAACCGTTCCAGCCCTCGTACCCACTCAGCGCTCAGCTGCCTCTCAAGGCCCCAGCCCAGCCGAGATCCCCAACCCTCCAGAAGAGACCACTATCCACCCTGACCTTATCCTCCCCCCCTGTTACCTCATAACTCCCCACGCACCACTTACCTGAGACACTTCATGCAGGGCTGCCCTGCCCGCCCTCCCGCCAGGCTGAGAACCCCCATGGCCCGCCCGACACCCTTCCCCTGCCCCAAACCGGGCCTCTGTGTGCTCCGAGGCTTCCCCCCTTGCCACGACCCGCGGGGAAAAGGAATGGGGACGCGGCACCGCAAGAAGGGTTCGGGACACAGCAGTGTCTCGTGAAGCAATGCCAAACTTCATTAGGGAAACAGTAACTTATAAAGGGTAGGTTTAGGGGTGGAGTTTGGGCTAGGGAGGAGCATAGGACTGGCAACTCAGGGATAAATGTGAGGGTAACTGGGTAAGGAGGGGAGGAGTTTTGGGTGTAACTGGGGAAACGGGCCAATGGTAGCTGCCTCTGCACTGCACCAAGGATCAGCCAATGGCAGGCAGAGGAGCGGGAAAACAGGGTTAAGGCGGGAAAACTGTGAGGGGAAGAAGGGGACAATATGGAGGGTAAATTTAAAAACAACAACTGGGGGTACACATTACCATATAACAGTATAACAACAAACTGGGGAAAACTGGGGATAAAAAGAAAACTGTCCAGTCCGGTACAATGTCAAGTCCAGTAAATAAAGGTTCATTTCGGTGAGGTTGTGTCTTATCCGGTGTAAAGTGTCTCATTCAGGGCTGTAGATCTTACGCCAAGCTTGAAACTCTTCCCATTCAGCTCTGTGTTCCCCAGCACCCCCTCCTCTCCCACGAGGGCACAAAGCCACACCAGCCAAGCTCCCCCTCTCCTTTCCCGGGCTGGGGCAGCCCCCGCGCCCATGCGGAGGCTCCCTTTGTTATCATATGTGCCTAATAAAATACCAGGGCTCCCTTTCCCACAGATGTTATACTTATGACTTTGCACTCCCCAACACACAGAGAATTTCTTTTATTTGGTTTAAGAAAATGATTTTTGTGAACCTACAAGGACAGAAACACTGGTTCAACTAACAAACCAATAATGGACACAAAGGCTACTTCAGCCCAAATCAAGGGGAGGAATAAAATGTCCAGCACTATGGTTGCTCCAATTAGCTTTACTTAATGATGGATTTTTGCAAGTAATGGTAACAGCTGGGGTTTTTTGCAAGTTAGGGGAAAAAAAAATGCCCAGAAGGGCATGTCCAGGCATGTCCACTGCTCAAGGTCCACCTGGGTGTCAAAGCAAGTGCAAGTGAACCCAGAGGGGAGGAGGATGAAGAAAAGATCTACTAGAATTCAACATCTGCAGGCAGTTGTGTCACTGTGACAGCCCCTCCTGGGAGGAGCAGCCACAGGCTGTGGGGTGCTGTGGGAGATGGGAGGGGGAGCCTNCTCCTCTCCCGGCCCGCTGACAGAGCGCAGACCCCGCGGTTATTGCCGGCTCTCCGCAGGAAGGGGCGCTGGGGCGGCAAAGGCCGCACAGCGACTGTCAAAGCTGTTCACTGTTTATACACTTTAGCAAACAAAGGCACTACGGTTCGTTGGCTACAAGTTACCTAGTTCTCTTATTAATTAGTGTTCTATTCGTTAATAATTCCCACGCTTCTCATGCTAATTAGTCCCATGCTCAGTGTTCCCCTTCTTTTGGGTCAGAGACCGTGAGTCGATGGTCGTGACCTGCCCCTGCTGGAATTACCCTTTACCCCGATGGACCTGATTTCAGCACAGTTGCTGAGTTGTCTTTGTTAGTTTCTTTTTTATCTTTATGCGCCAAATGTCCTTGTGGCCTGTAAATTCTGCATTCTTTGTGTGCCCAAATCAGTGGTACATCCTTCTTCCCAAGCCTTGTTAACCTCCCCCAAGTCTGAGATCATTGAAACACATCCAGCCCTAAACCTTAACAAGGCAATTCTACCGACAATTAATTTGTCTTTCTAACTAGTACCTGGACATCACTTAGACCTTGTTGGCTGCTCTCTGTTCCACAGATTAAATCTCCTTCCTTGTTGAATAGGCTTGAAAGTGTACAAAGATTAAACATCAAAGAACATCCTTTTTTTAAGAAAATTTTTACATATTCCACACTTTGGAATAAGATGACCTGAGAAGCAGGACTGGCACATAACAAACTTGGTGACTGACTTGGAAAGGCAATTATAGAAATTATGTCTAGTTAATACATTTAAAAAAAAAATATTAAGGGTTCTGTGTGAAAAACAGAACAACAGCAGCAGTTCTTGCTGAATATTATCAACTAAATAAACTGCAAACAGAGGTGCACAGTGCATCCATTTGTATTTAATGTATATGCACTGTTACCTTGAGCTGAATTGGGTGTCTGTACCAAGTACCATTAATATTAAAGCTATAAAATAAAATGAGGTTTGGAATAGAATGTAGGAACCTGCTGCTTAATGGTAGCCTACACATGCTGGCTGTGGTATTACTCC